GGTCTGGGCCCAGGACCTGCTTCTGCTCCGTGGCCTTGGTGAGCAGGTCCACCCCCGAGCCCCTGATTGCTCCTCCGTGGGGCAGGTGCATCCCACCCATGGCACAGAGTCCTTCAGGGCCCATGGGGACAAGTGTGTGGTCACCGGCCACGCTGTGGGGGTGGCCTTGGGGTTGGTGATTCTGGAGGCCGCAGGGTAGCGGGTGAGGAGGGCGGGGCCTGGCAGCCGCTGCCGTTCGCACCACTTGGCCCAGGTCCCTCCTCTGTCCCAGGCCACCGCCCCCCTCCTACCGCGGGTGGCTTCATAAGGGGATGGTGAGGTTTGAGTGATGAAAAGTCAGGGGACGTGGCATGGAAGGAACTGGACTTCCCAGGGACGTCTGGGTACATCTTCATGACCAGAGATGTGACATGTGCCCCTGTAGCTGCAGGGGAACTTGGGCAGTTGTTCGGGCAGGACGTGGCCTCGCCCCAGGAGTTCCCGTGGCACACGAAGGGTGGACGGACACTGGAGCCGGCCACGTCTCCTCTGCCTATCTCCAGCCACCGGAAGGGAGGAGACGTGTGGGAGCACCCCCGTCCTCACAGCAGCGAGCATGGAGCTGGCGCACAGTAGATGCTCAGCTAAAGTTTTTGGGGAGAGCTCCGGCTCACCCTCCTCCTGAGGAAGAGCCACTAATGTGAAGGTGCAGGGCCAGCCCTGGCTAAGGGAGCCCCAGGTCAGATGGGGCAGGCACAGCCCCTGCCCCGCTGCGAAGGTGGCCCACACGTCCATGCACACACACACACACACGCCACTGCTGGACAGGTGGCCCAGGGTGCAGCAACAGCGGTCCCTGCAGCCAGCAGGAGGCTCCCGTCACCCTCAAAGACAGGAAAGGCCGAGGAAGGCCGCGGTTGGGGGCAGCAGGGAACCCCTTCCCAAACCTCCGTGGCCGAGAGTGACTCCAGAGTCTGGCTGTCATCCAGAGCCATCTGTGACGGGGCACGCGGGAGCCCCAGGGGTTTGATTTCTAACTGTGGGGCGGAGGCTGGCTCCCCACCCTCCAGCTGCAAGACTCAGGCGAACCCCCAGAGAGGCCTGTGCCACCTGCCCCGGGGCAGCTGCTCCCCTGGGCAGGAGGGGCCATCGGAGCCCTCTCCTGGACTCCAGTGCCTCCTGCTCCTCCTGCCCACCCTCTGGGCCCAGCCAGCCCCAGCCCCAGGCAACAGCTGAACCCCAGGCTCTGGCTGCCTAGGGATCAGCCCTGGTCTCCCGGTCAGAAGCCCGGCCACCCCCTCTCATGGGAGCCTCAGGGGGCAGGTGCCCCGTGGCCCTTCCACAGGATGGTCTCCTCTACAGGATGCCCCCTGACCGGGGTCCGTCTTTGCCTGCAGCAGGGTCCCCAGTGTGTGGGTGCAAGGTGTTAGGCACAGGGCACAGAGCCCGCCTGGGGCCACCTCTGCCTGGGGAAGTGAGGCCAGGCGTCCTCCCCTGCAGGCCTGCCGTCCCAGCGGGCAGGTCGGGGTTCCAGCCCTGGTGACGAGGCTGAGCCCAGCTGGCCACAGGAGGACAGGCCCCGCTGGGGCAGTGGCAGCTCAAAGCTGGAATTCAGAAGTCCACCCAGACCCCCTCCCCCCACCTGCTCTACCTGGGCAGGAGGATGAGAGGGCCCAGGGCCAGAAGGACATCGGCCTCTGTGGACGCTGGGCTGGAGCTCGGGGTCCGCCTTGTCCTGTGTACAGAGGGTCTGCAAGTCCGGGGAAGAGCACAGCCATTGTCTGCCCCGAGTCAAGGCCATCTGCTAGCCACAGGGCCAGGACCCTCAGATTTGGAGGACCTCTCCACAGCAGAATGTCGGGTCAGGTGTGTGGGCCTTAGGGTCAGATGTGGCTGTGGTGCTTCAGGCAAATGACTTACCCACTCTGGGCCAGCTCAGGCTGGAAGCTTCCAGAGCCCAGGAATTCACCGCCCACTCCCACCACCTCCACAGTTAGCCTCGGAAGCCCCTCCTTGCCCTACGGGCCTGGGGAGAGGTGACCGTGCTGAAGGGAGGGAACAGAGTCACTGCCCTGCAGAGCAGGGACACGTGTCTGAGTCTGCTGTCCGCCATCTGGTCCCTGTGTCCTACAGTTTAAGGTGTCCACGCCGCTCGAGTTCAGCAGCTTCACAGGATTTACATCCAGCAGGACCAATGGGAGGGGACTGCCAGGACCTTCAGCGTCACCCGTGGCCCGGGCCAGGGCCCCAGCTGGTTTCCCTTCTGTCTCCCTAGAGTCCCGTCTTGGGACATTTTGTGTAAATGGCGTCACACGCCTTGTGGCCTTTGGGGACAGGCTTCTCTCCATCCGCATGATGTTTTCAAGCCCCCCACATGGCAATAGGCGGAAGGTGGGTCCTTCCTGGAGCCGCGGTTCACGGTTGGCGCTCCCTGGTGCTGTCCATCCATCATCCCTGGGGTGGGGTCGTTCCGCCTGTTTAGTTTCTTGAAGACGCCGCCGCAGACGCGCTCTTGCCTGGACGTGTGTTCGCGTTGCTCTTGGGTGCTGCGCGCCAAGGGGTGCGATTTCCGGGTCATGTGGTGACTTGTTTGATCTCGAGGAACCGCCTGACTGTTCTCCAAAGCGTCCCCCTCGACACGGCCGGCCGCAGTGAGGGTTCGGTTCACCCGAGTCCTCGCCAACGCTTGTTACTGTCTTTAATCACAGCCCTTCCAGTGAAGCGGTGCTCGCTCTCCACTGTGCCTTTGGTTTGCATTTCCCAGATAACTAACGACATCAAACGCCTTTTCATGTCCTCGTTGGCCACTTCTTGGGGAACTCTGTTCATATTGTACTTTAAGTGGGTTGTCTTTTTATTATTGAGTCGTGAGCGCTATTTACATGTTGCAGACTAAATCCCTAATCAGACCAAGGGCTGGCAGACATTCCCCCGCCCCCGCCGTCTCTGGTTTTGTGGACAGGGTTCTCTGAAGCGCAGGTTTCCGTGTTGATGACCCCAGTTCATCTGTTTTGTCCCTGTTGTCCCTACATCGGTGTCTTGTCTTACAAGGTTTTAATCAAGCTCTTCTGCCGAGGGGACACCCAGAGTGGATGGGGGACACTTGGGCAGAGCTGAGTCCCTCGGGTGGGCTCAAAGTGGCCCTGGGGGGCCCTTCTGCTTTCTGGGCTGGGAAAGGCCTCAACAAGGCCTGGCCCCTGCCTGGGTCACACAGTCCCGGTGGGGAAGAGTTGGGCAGAGAGGGCCTGGTCACACCCTGGGGACGCAGTGGGTGGAGCCCAAGAAAGCTTGCACGTCCCAGCCCGGTTTCTCTTCCATTAGAGGCGCCGCAGAGCCCCAGGGTCGGGAGCTAACGCGCTTCTCTGTCCTCAGCCATGAAAGCCGACCGCAAGCGCCTGAAGGGCGAGAAGACGGACCTGGTGAGCCAGATGCAGCAGCTGTACGCCACGCTCGAGAGCCGCGAGGAGCAGCTGCGCGACTTCATCCGCAACTACGAGCAGCACCGCAAGGTCAGGGCCCTCCGCGCCCCTCTCTGTCGGGTGCACGCGCTGCCTCTCCAACCCCAGAGCACGGGTGGGAGGCTCCTGTGTGCGCAGCCGGTTCTGGGCGCTCAGAGGAGACCAGCTGAGCCCCTGGTGGCAGGCCCGTGTCGCCTGGACAGTGAGTCCAGCTGCTTCAGATCCCCACCCCCATGTGTGTGCCCTGGGGCATCCCATGGACCCTCTTAGACCGTCAGTTTCCTCATCTGCAGAGAGTGCAGGTCTCTGGGTAGTACACGCCAAGCGCTCAGCACAGCGCCCAGCCAGCCCATAATAAGCACTCCGTCCCTGTGAGCTCTGCCTCTTAGAACTAACATAAAGAGTGAGGAGAAAGACCCCAGCACCTGGGAGACAGCAAGAATCCCGCCTGCAGGGAGGGAGGCTTGGAAGGCTTCCCTGAGGAGGCGACCTATGAGTTGGGCTCTGTGGGATGAGTAGGAGTTGGTGGGTCAGGTCACTGAGGGATTTGGTGCAGCAATTATCTGCGTGGTCTAGGCGGCACGGGGGGTGCCAAAAGGATGGTGAGACTGAGGATCAGGCCGTGGCTAAGCCGCTTTTCTGCAGGGAGCGAGTGAACCTTCTGGTGCTCGGGGCAGGGAAACTGCTCCCAGGTACAGGAGTCCCTGGGTGGGGGGTTGGCTGTGACCACAGTGTGCACCAGGCTGAAGGCGGAGGTGGGAGGTGCCTCAGCAAGTCCCTGCACAGTTGTTGGTGGCAGGCCAGCTGGATGGGTCCCGTCAAGGACCGATGCCTCTGAGCTGTAGTGGAAAAGCCGAATGTCCCCAGGCTTTGTCCCCACGTGCACTCTGGTCTTCCCCAGTGACACTCACGGTCACCTCCGGGGCGTGCACATCACTTTATCCCCCATGATGAAAACTGTCCCAGAGAACTCGTGGCTGCTCCCGCAGCTTCCACGTCCCCAGTGCTGTCCCCTCCCCTGCCGGCTGGGTCACCGCTGCCAGCACCCGTCCATGCTGAACGCCCCAGGTCCCCATGCGACAAAACTGTTCAGATGAACCAGGGAAGGGCTCGTGCCACCTGCGGGGTCCTGGAGAAAGGCCACGGACATCCCCTGAGCAGTGGCCTTGGAGCTTAAGAGCCCAAGAGCAGATGGTCACTGTGTCATTTAATGACACGTGAGGTCCACGCCTGTGATTTTGCCCTTTTTTGGCAAGAAGAGCCCCGGAGGGACCTTGCCTTCCACAGAACCACAGGTGCAACCCCCGCCCCCAGCCAGCAGCTTCCAGCGGCCCCACCTGGGCCCCGGGTGTCACGCTCATGAGCTGGCTTCACAGTCGGTCCCCTTCAGGTTCATTCAGAAAAATGGAGCTTGGAAAACACCCAGCTTTTTACATCAGCCTGGATCCTGTTCCCAGGAGGCTCACTCCCCAGCTCCCGCCCATCTGCAGGCGGCAGCATTAGGACGACCTTTAGTCCCCCGGGGGCCTGACCCTGTTTTACAGGTGGGAGGACTGAGGCTCTGTGGGGCCATGTGACCAGGCCAAGCCACGTGGGCTTTTGAAGATGCTGAGGCTACAGGTCCTGGTTCTGTCCGGCCTCTTCCAAGGTCTTGCATCTGGTTACCCAAAAATCATGCATCTTTTTTCTTTTTAAAAAATATATATATGTGTTTTTAGTTGCGGATGCACCTTTATTTATTTTTGTGTGGTGCTGGGAATCGAACCCTCACACATACTAGGCAAGCACTCCACCTCTGAGCCATGACCCAACCCCAAAATCATGCCTCTTTATTTGCAAAATAAATGTCCCTGGGGACAGGATTAGAGGCCCGCAGGTCCATCCTGGCCGGCACCACTCGGCCTCCTATGGGGACCGGGCTCCCGGGGAGCCCTGCAGGCTCAGCCAGGGAGGGGCAGGACGCAGCCCAGGGTCTGTGGGAGGCAGGGACAGCACAGGCACAGGCTGCTGAGAACCAGGGCCCTTGTCTGCCTGGGAAGTTCCCAGGATTGCAACATGTGAGACAGCCGCACACGCCCTGTCCCAGAGCACCGCGGAGGGGGGACTTGGGGACTCTCCACAAGTCCAGCTGGGGAGGTTCTCACGATAGGCCAGGCGGCCAGGCCCGGGATGGACACAGGGTGATCGTGGTGATGAGGTCACGTTGGAAACAGGCCTCCATCCTCCAAATGCCATCGTGTCCCCAGCCGACCTTGTCCCCTGCGGCCCCTCCCTCTGCCTTCTCCCATCCTGCCCTGGCAGCCGGGGAGGACCCCCCCTACCCAGCCTCCCCTCCGGGACCCTCAGGGTCTGGACAAATCCTGCTCTGTGAATTCCGGCCGCCCCGACCCCGTCCGGTCCCCTTGTTTTCACCTCAGTTACCAGCGGGGACTGAGACCTGGTTTTATTTCCCTGGGCCTCAGTTTTCTTGTCTGTGAAACAGGTTAATGTCAGCCCCTGCCTCGCGGATGGGTGTGAGGTTTGAAGGGAGCAGAGCACCCGGAACCCTGTGCAGAGGCTCCATGAAAGTCCCTGCTGCGTGCGCCTGCCCCCCGCCCCCTGCCAGGGATCTCCGTCCTGGAGGTGGGGGTCCCGGTCTTGAAAGCACTTTGAGTCACTTACTGCCCTCAGTCAGCTCATGACCAGTGGGACCAGCAAAGAGATGGAGATAAAAACGGCCCTGAGGGTCCTAGTGGGTCTCCTCCTAATTCAGCGATATTCCTAGGCAGTCACTTGAGCACCAGGGGTTTCTCAGGGACAGTTCTTTAGCCCAGCTGTTGAGCTCCACACTCGGGCAGTCTTTTTGGCACCCTCTCTGCAGGGCAGGGCTCTGTCTGCTGCCTGCCTGCTGGTGGCATCCGCGCATCAGATCTGAAGAAGAACAGGTTGGAGCTGGGCGCGGTGGTGCATGCCTGCAGGCCCAGAGGCTCCGGAGGCTGAGGCAGGAGGATCGTGTGTTCAAAGCCAGCCTCAGCAAAAGTGAGGTGCTCGGCCGCTCAGCGAGACCCCGTCTCTAAATAAAACACCAAAAGGGGCTGGGGAGTGGCTCAGCGGTCGAGGCCCCTGGGTTCAATGTTTGCTACCCCAAAACAAGAAGCTGCCCTCTCCCATGGTGGTCAGGAGGGGCCTGGCCTGCCTCATGCCCACCTCTGCTGATCTCCACGCAGAGCAGCCTCCTGGGAACATCCCGAAGTACCTGAGGGCGGGGAAACCGAGACAGAGGTGACGTGCGGCGGTGACCGCAGAGCCAGGGTTTGGCTGGGCCCCAGCTATTCTGTGACAGCCAGAGAAAGGCCGGTTCCTCCCTGTCGCCTCGATGCTCACCATCTGGGAGCCAGGCCTTCCACGCAGGCTGTCAGGCAGGGCAGCGGGGGGCAGCTGTCCGTGGCCCGGCTACATGGACACCTGGCTTTGCTGTGGACTTGGCAGCAGGGTAGTGGTCCAGCTCCCCCTCTCAAGGACACCTACTGTCCCCAAAGTGCCCTGGCCAACAGGTCAGAGCCCGCTTGGGGCAGCTGCTCCTGCTGCTGGCTTTGCCTGAGGGCTGGCTAGGGACTGGCCCCAGGGGAGCCTGGGCCACGCAGAGGCTTTGCCTTCAGTACAGACAGCTGGGGGGGGTCGGCCTGTCTGCGCCTCAGCAGCTGTGCCCGCCTCTTACCGATGGGAAGCCCAGACCCGGTGAGGGAGACCACCTCCCAGGGCAGTTACTTTCTCATTTATTCGTTTAGTCCTTCATTCACTGAAAAAAAAAAATACTGGGCATCTCCCAGGGACGCGCCCCAGTCTCCCAGCTACTCGGTGGAACATTCGAACCCGGCACTTCCCCACAGCAGAGCTGGGCTGGCCTCCTGCCAGGGCCTCCCCACTTCTCTGTCTGTCCGGGGTCCAGCCCCCTCTGCGTCCAGGGTCCAGGAGTGCTCCACCCCGGTGGTGACCTGCCACGCCCTCTCTGGCTCCCCCACCCCCAGGAGAGCGAGGACGCGGTCAAGGCCCTGGCCAAGGAGAAGGACCTGCTGGAGCGAGAGAAGTGGGAGCTGCGGCGCCAGGCCAAGGAGGCCACGGACCACGCCGCCGCCCTGCGCTCCCAGCTGGACCTCAAGGACAACCGGATGAAGGAGCTGGAGGCCGAGCTGGCCATGGTGAGTCCTGCCACCTGGGGCCCCGGGTGTTGCAGGGGGGAGTGATGGACCCGCAGCCCAGGCCAGTGGAGTGGCCTTGGCAGAGGGAGGGGCCCAGGGCCGCAGCCCCCAGAGCTTCCCCCAGGACCACCTGGCCCAGGGGGCGGGGCTGCCTTCCAGGGGGCGGGGCTGCCTTCCAGGGGGCGGGGCTTGGAAGACTCTTCCTTACCCCTGGCCACTGCTAGAAACAGTATCTTTTTGTTATTTTTCTTGGTTCAAAATGAATATTTCGGGGCTGGGGTTGTGGCTCAGCAGTAGAGCGCTCGCCTCGCACGGGCGGGACCTGGGTTCGAGCCTCAGCACCACATAAAAATAAAGTCATTTTATTTGTCCATCTACACCTAAAAAATGAATATTTAAAAAATATATATATATTTAGTTTATGTATTATTTATGATATGAATATAAAATAATATATATTTATTTATAAGATACAAATATAAAACATTTAAGTTTCTATACTTTATAAATAAATATAAAACATTTCATATTTCATACATACACAAAACACGGATACTCGTAAGTAGCTCCGGGGCAGGGCATACATCAAAACCGTCCCTCATCCCGGGGCGGCAGGTTGGCACATGGTGTTGGTCTGTGACCGTCTTATGTGTGTGCAACAAAATCATCTTGGGTCATCAAGGGGAAAAAAATTTTTTTTCTAATCCAAAACAAACTCTTTAAATAATGCCGAAAATTTTGTGGTTTGAGAAGGTGCCCAGGGCATGGGGTCTGGGGGCAGAGTGGCCAGGCTGGCCGTGGCGCCCAGGCCCGAGCCCTGCCCTCCGTGCTGCCTGCCCCTAGGCACTACCTGGGCTTGGGGGCCTTCCCGTTGCTGGGCCAGGTGGGGGTCCTGCCCTCCCTGCCTTCCCCACCAGGTGTCTGGGTACATCCTCAGAGCACGGGGCCAGAAGGGCCTTTGAAAGCCACCAGGGCTGCTGGTGGCCAGGTGCAGGCTGTCGGGGGGCTCCTGGGAGGGGGCCACAGGACTCTCTAACAGCCACGTCCTCCTGCTGAGTGCCAGCACCAGCTGGGGTGAGGTCATAGCTGTGGGTTCTGGGCTCCCGTCTGCCCCTGTTGCTCCTAGCTGTGTGTCCTTGGCAGGCTTCCTTACCTCTCTGAGCCTCACTATCATCAGCATAAGTAGAGATAACATGGGGCGCTGGTGAGGATGTCAGTGGGATAACGGAAGGCAACCAGCTTAGGGTCCTGGTTGGGTGATGGTTTCCTATAAGTCATTTGCTTCAGGATGAGGCAATACAGGCCGCGCAGGCTCCTGGCACCTCCCCTGGGTCTCCTTGTCCAGTGCTGACCCCTAGTGGTGAGGGGCATGCAGGCCAGGAAGAAGCCGCGGGAAGAAGGTGCAAGTGACGCCCTGTTCTCCCAGGTCCTGCCCTGCCCTGCAGGGGGACAGCAGAGGTGTGGCTTGTGGCCTTGGCACCTCGGGCACCCAGGAGGCTGCGCCCTGGGTCTTTGTGGGCTGGAAGGCAGCTCAGCGGCTCCCTGGGCCCAGCCACTCCCTGGCAGGGCCCCAGGCTCTTGCCGCCTCCCGTAGGCACCTCCCTCTCTGGCCCTGCGGCTCAGCAGGGGTTTGTTGTAACCAGGCCCCCAGGGGCAGGGGGAGGGCCTTCACCTGAGCCACAGGACCCCCAGGGGCAGGGGGAAGGCCTTCACCTGAGCCACAGGGCCAGGTGTTGCTGGGGCATGTCCTCCCGTGCAGGGCCCCCGTCACTCACCACCTGCAGCCTCACAGCCAGGGCGCCTGCTCAGGCCCAGCCCCCAGCAGACCCGGGTTGCAAGCTCCAAGCAGCTCAGGCTGGCCAAGCCCCGGGGTGTCCTGGAAGTCGGGATCCCGGGAAGGTGGGGGGTGTGCCCAGAAGTCGGCAAAGCCCAGGCCGCCTCGGGGCTGGGGAGCCCTTCCGGGCCCGGTGTCCAGATGCCCCATCTTGGTCTCTTTGGCACCTTGGCTGGGATGCTGATGTGGGAGCTGGTCAAGAAGCAGCAGGCAGCCCTGGGAGGGCAGGAAGACAAACGTCACTTCATGCCAGCAGGCCCAGGGGGGACAGACTCCAAATGCTGAGCCCAGATCCACAGATTCTCACGACACTTGGAGGTGATCTGCCTCCTCTTGGACCCAGCCTGTCACTGGGCTTTTCCCTCTTTTTGAAAACGTTCCCACTCTGCGGCTGCAGGCCAGTGCAGGTCCCTAACATGAAGCCTGCTCACAGAAGCAGAGAAGAGGGACAGTCCTCACAGGCACCTGTGGCATTTCCGGGGGAGCAGCCAGATCCCAGGGCAGCTGTGTCCAGTCCAGGAGGCAGGGCCCAGGTCCACAGGGCCTCCCCGGGCTTTGGTGGTGCCTTAGTGTTTCTCTGATCTCGTTTCACACCGGGCCTGGCTTGGCCACCAGGCGCTGTCCTGGGTGATTCCATAAGTGGCCCTGAGGCGCTGCCACGGAGCTGGGTAGACAGAGTCCCCCTGCCCCGGGCACTGAGGCTGCCGGGAAGCAGGGCACTGGGAGGGGCGGGGCCTCATCTCCTCGGGGGTGCCCAGGCCAGTGTGTCCAGGCCTCGGCCTTCACACGTCCTGGAGCGGGGAGAAGCCAGAGGTGTGTGCTTCTCCCTCCTCCGGAGCCCGGGTCACAGAGAACTCGCCCCCCACCTGCCCGGTGCCCCAAAGCCAGGAGCAGCTCTTGTGTCCCATGACGGCTCCGGGCAGGGCCTCCCACCGCCCTGTTGACACTCAGGCCAGGTGGCTGTGTGGCGAGGTGTCCCCTGCGCTGCAGGATGTTGAGCGCCACCCCGTCTCCACCCACCACATGCCACACTTGGTCTGGAGACCAAAAAATTCTCCAGACATTGCCAATTGCCCCCCAGAGAGTGAAATCACCCAAGTTGAGAATCGGCCTCCCACAGAGTCAGATGTTGTTCCCAGAATCAAGCATCCGTGACGGCTGAGCCTGCGGTTCAGGCCTGATAGAGGCCCAGCTTCAGGCCTGTCCTTTTCCAGCTGTGTGACCTTGGGCAAGAGACGAACCTCTCTGAGCCCCATTCCCTCCTGTATGAAACGGAAGCCATACAGACCTTCCTCCCAGGCTTTGTGCAGAGACCCAGATGCTGGGTGCATCGGGGCAGGCACTGGAGACGCTCAGTCGACCGGAGCCGTCATTCCCTGAGCTCGTCCTAGACCTGGCCCCATCCTGACACCCCGGGGCTGAGCCAGGGGTTCCTCATCGTCACTGTGGACCACCCCTTCCTACCTCTCCGTGCCTCAGTTTCCTCACCTGTCAAAACGACCTTCGCCACAGGCCGGGGGAAGGCGGGCGGCTGAGCTTCGCGCCCCAGCACTCAGCTCTGAGGCCACCGCCTGTCCCTCAAGCTCCACCCCCAGACCCTGGCCACTGCCTCCCTGGCCTTCCCAGCAGCCCTCTGCGGGGCCAGTTCCCGGCCTTGGCCTCATCCTGAGGGTCCACCGTCCCCCCGGGTAGAATCGTCCATTGTGGCACAAGGGCACGGGCCGTTCTGCAGCCCGGCCGCGCGGGACCCACCAGGAGGTGAGCCTGCGGGGTTTGCCCAGGGCTGGACCAGCACGGGGCAGAGACTCGGTGGAGCGGCAGGGTGCCTTCAGCCAGGCACCCTCGGACGTGGGCAGTGGACATGGGGTGGCCTGCCCTGCCGGCCGCATGGTCGTCCCCATCCGGGAAGGACGTGGGTGATCCCGACGTCACCCCCATGCTGCTTGCTGTTGACCAGGACAGGGGTCAGACAGTGTCCCTGGCCTGGTGTGAATGACCCTTCTCCTTCCTTCTTGGGAGGCAGAAGGGTCGAGCCCCGGCGTGGGGACAGAGAGCTTCCCCTGGCGACCGAGTGGGGGGCCGTGTTTCTCCACCACCAAGATGGGGCACAGGCAGCGAGGGGCCCTCCTGGATCCCACTGCTGGAGTGGACGGGCGGGGCAGGCCAGGTGGCCAGAGGTCAGTCCAGATGAGGACGTGCGTCCGTGCGGGCGGAACGCCTGCCCGTTCCCTCCCCAGAGAATTTGAGGTCGCCCCCCATAGAGCCCCACGCACCTTGCCGTGGGAGGTGACAGATCTCGGGCTGTCCCAGAGGTGCCCTCCTGGGGAGTCCCTCAATCCACGCGCTCTGGGGCCATGTTGAGGGCTCCACGGCCTGTGATCCAGGGGACCTGCCCACAGGTAGAGTGGCCAGCCCCCCGCGGTCCTGCAGGGGAGGAGGTGCCGGCCATGGGTGACCCCTGTGCAGAGCCGGTGGCAGGGGACTTTGGGGGTGCTGAGGGGATGGAAGCCCCATTGTCTTACACTGGCCAGCCCTGGGGGACAGGAGGTGGGCGTGTCCTGGACCCCTTGCTCTCCGCCTGCTGGCCACCCTCTGCTCTTGGTGGGCACTCAGGGGCCCCAGAGCGAGCTCACAGTGAGGGTCCCGTGGCGCAGGTGCTCAACACAGGCTGGTGACACCCTGGTTCAGAGGCTCCTGGCTGTCAGCCTGGTGGTGGTGACAGCGGGCAGCGGCCCCAGGGTCCCACCGTCCTGTCTCCCACTCTCTCTCCAGGCCAAGCAGTCCTTAGCCACGCTGACCAAGGACGTCCCCAAGCGGCATTCACTCGCCATGCCGGGCGAGACGGTGCTCAACGGCAACCAGGAGTGGGTGGTGCAGGCGGACCTCCCGCTGACCGCGGCCATCCGCCAGAGCCAGCAGACTCTCTACCACTCACACCCGCCCCACCCTGCGGACCGGCAAGGTGAGTCCTGCCCGGCGGCCCAGCCTGGCTCCCAGGGGCTTCCCAGGAGGCCACCATACCCAGTGGGTGGGACAGTCTCTGATCACAACCTGGGACGATGGCGGGCCGAGATCCCTTGGCTCTGGACACTCAAAAGGCCAAGAGGTGGACTGCAGGCATAGCTGGATCCAGAGGTTCAAGCAAAAGCCGACTCTGGCCCTTTCTTTCCATCTGGGGGCCCTGCCCACTTGCACTTAGCCTCATTATTAGAGCTCCTCTTCCTGCAAAGTGGCAAAACACAAAATGAGTAGCTTGTTGTTAAGTGTTTCGCTCTTTGCTCTTCCAGCCGACTTTAAATCCCAGATCTCAGAAGTAGCCCAATCGCCATCAGGCTGTCAGGCTGGTCCTAATTTTTAGCCCGTCTGAACCGTCACACTCCCAGTTAGATGAGTCCCTCCCTGGGTCGCCGCGTGTGAGGGCAAACGGTGTGACTGTTCAAGGCGCCAGAGCTCAGGCGTCCGAGAAAGAGAGACTCTTCTCCCTGTAGCCACATCCAGCTCCAAAGAAAGAGTCTGGTTGGCGGCCAGGGCCACACGCCCAGCCCTGAGCCCTTCCCTGTGTGTGGGGACACAGATCCCTGCCGGCTGGCCTGGTCACACAGGCGTCCTCTGACGGAGGCCGCAGAGCTCCCTGGTTGACAGCTCAGCCACTCACAGGGCCAGCGGGAAGGCCAGGGGCAGGCTCAGACACAGCAGGGGCCTGGCATTGGGCAGCGACTCTGCCCACTGCCCGTGGGGGAGGCTGTGCCTCGTCACCCTCCCATGGCGTGCCTGTAAGAGCCTGTCTCCATGCTCTGTCCCTCTTGAGCAGCTGCCCTTATGTGATAGGCACAGGCTGGGAAAGACAGCTGCTGGCAGCGGGGACCCTCGGGGACTCCCTGTGCAGTGGGCAGGGTGCGCCCTGGAGGCTGTGGGCAGCGCCGGCCTCTGGAGCTGGTGGGAGTGACGTGGCTCGGCCCCCCGGGGGCTGGTGGTTGGTGGGGGAGGCGCCGTGGGCCCTGCGTCCTACCGTGAGGGCAGGTGAGTCCCCGGTTGAGGGGCACAGGCTCGGGGTTCACTGTGGGGTTCAAATCCTGTTCCCTGCTGCTTCCCGGGGACCTGACCGTGACCTTGGCCAGGTCCTCGGCTTCCACATGGAAGGGGTGTCGGGTCCGTGGTGCACAGTGTGTGTCCACGTCTGCACCCACTGGGTTGTCGTGAAGGTGGGACATATGACAATCCTGGAAGGGGCCTGGGGAGCTAGGAGCTGCTGTCCTCGGCAGGGACATTGTCGTCATCATGA